AAGGAACCATGTGTCTATCTCGTTTCCTTTTTCCTGTTACAAACATATGCACAAAGACATAATACCCTGTACCACAGTGTGGTGAAGGGTATAAAAATCTCCACTTTGTAAAATCTCTTCCCTGCAATAACATCCTTATTTGTCCCTGATCCCATCTGCATTACAACATTATTAATTGTCAATTAAGGAACACACACTCCCCCGCATAATAGACCTGTCTGCTCGATAATCCCAAAAATCTCTGTCACCTGTGGCCTGTAGTTGTAAAACAATCTATTGGAATTGTTTCAACTTTGTTTTCCTGTTCTCTGATGAGGGTGCGATAGGTTATAAACAACCCGGCTTTTAATAGATCCATTAATACCAATAATTACATGACGCACTTTGAGCCTTTTTACCAAAGCAAATCATAAAAAAATCTGAAACTGAAACGAAAACATAAGCTATCAAACGCTGACCGAGTATTAACCCTTAACAAAAATAATTAATTGAAATATATGTTAACAATAACCCGCAGGAACAGTAACAACAACTGCAGAGCATTTTCAAAATGCAGGTGTTGGTGGATAAGTGAGTTAAATCGTTATAAATGCCAAATAATAATTATTGGTAACAAGCCGGGTGTCTAGCACCCAACACACACACACCCACAAACAGTTCCATAATCGTAGCTCTCATAATCATAACGAAGTTATGAAGATTTGAAGAGAGGGGGAACCCAAATCAAATACCATAGCCAACCAGACAGACAATCAGTTAACTAAGCATATTGATCCAATGGGTAGAAGATACCAACAACAACAACAACATCAATAATAATAACCGTTAAACTACAACGTTTGTAGATGACAATGAACACCAGCACAACAACAATGTAGACCCAAAAACCATCGTCCAAAACCCCTCCTTTGGTCCCAATAGATTTTCAATTTGAGAGATGAAAATGATTGTCTAACGAGACCTGGATAAAACACTCACACAAATAAAAACAGCAAAAACAACCATATGACACACCAATGGCAACCACCATTGGCACGAGGGCTAACAGCAAATAACCGAAACTTATCGATGAAAGTGGATATCCCCCAACAATAACAACAAAATACCCTCAAACAAGACGCAAACACACTGCCACACTCTTTGGGGCTTTTTTTATAACAACTCACAGTGTTAATTTACACACCCAAACACTCAGCGGACACACACACACATACACACCGAGCGACATACTCTCACAAACCGACATCCACTCGCACACTTACTTATCGATATCCAAATAACATCAGAGATTTATACTGAACTGATAAAACGGACCACAAACAATGTTACGAACACGAACCCAAACAGCAGCAGCAACAACAACAACAGCAACAGCAACGAACCAAAACACACAACACTCCGAAGAGGGGTTCTTGTTCGTTCAATGGGTTAACACAACACAAACAACAAATAATACAAAGGAAGTATTGCGGACGGTCGAATCGCATAACCATTCATGAAAGAGGAAAACATTATACCGATGAGTAAAATAAAACAAACAGCAACAACGGTAACGACAGCAACAATAAAAGCTTCGGTCAAAGCAAAAACGTAAACAGAGAACTCAATGGACCGACATAAATGTTGATGTTGTTCTCACCTTACCAAAAACAACAGCAATACCACAATAAAACACACACATATACAAAGGAAAGCGGGATGTCGATAAGCCAGACATCTTTCAGAGACCATTAATAGGCTGGAATTTTATAGAGAATATTTTTATAAAGAATATTTTTTAAAAAATTAAACCCACACCAAAGAGGTGTGGGTTTATAAAAGAAAAAACATTTGGGGCTCTTTCAAGAGGCGTGGATTTATAAAAGAAAGAATTTTTATGGCTCTTCAAGAGGCGTGGATTTATAAAAGAAAAAACATTTGGGGCTCTTCAAGAGGCGTGGATTTATAAAAGAAAGATTTTTTATGGCTCTTCAAGAGGCATGGATTTATAAAAGAAAAAAATTTTGGGGCTCTTCAAGAGGCGTGGATTTATAAATTTTGGGGCTCTTCAAGAGGCGTGGATTTATAAAAGAAACAATTTTGGGGCTCTTCAAGAGGCGTGGATTTATAAAAGAAACAATTTTGGGGCTCTTCAAGAGGCGTGGATTTATAAAAGAAACAATTTTGGGGCTCTTCAAGAGGCGTGGATTTATAAAAGAAACAATTTTGGGGCTCTTCAAGAGGCGTGGATTTATAAAAGAAACAATTTTGGGGCTCTTCAAGAGGCGTGGATTTATAAAAGAAACAATTTTGGGGATCTTCAAGAGGCGTGGCGCTACAGACGCCGCAATTATGGCCCAAACATCTCGATTTTTTTCATGGAGAACAAGATCGGGCCACAGAATAAGCATGCCTGTTTTGATAAAGATCGGTCAATATTTAGCGGGTCAAATGGACCTATACTTTTGTGTGAAAAATGATAAAATTTGTATTCTACGGCGTATATATTTACTCCTGATGAACATAGACCCGAGAAATTGATAGTTTATCCAAGAGGAGTGGTTGGCTTTTAAATTGATACCAATTATATTGTCGTATGTGCTCGGATGTGGGAGTTACACTAAATTATTTACAGGTTGCTTACTTATTTCGATATTATCTAGTGACCCATTACCACACTAGAGAGCGGAAATATAGCGCTCATCTCTTTGAAAATTTTCATGAGATTACAATTATGGTCAAGGACAGCGTATATAATTTTCGGTGATGATCAGGTAATAAATTTGGGATGAAGTGGACCGAAAACTTATTATACCCTTCACAACACTTTGGTACAGGGTATTATGTCTTTGTGCATATGTTTGTAACAGGCAACAAAAAATTGAGATAGACCCATGGTTCCTTTTGAGAATATGCATAGAATCACCTTCTGAGTCGATTTATGCATGTCCGTCCGTCCGTCCGTCCGTCTGTAGATGTTAAATTGTAAACAAAGTACAGGTCGCATTTATAATTCGAATTGACTGAAATTTGGCACAGCTCATTTGTTTGGCCCAAGGACGAAACCTATTGAAATTGGGAAAAATCGGTTCAGATTTGGATATATCTCCCATATATATTTTCGTCCGATTTAAGGTAAATGGTACATCAAAGTCCCTATATATCCTTCGATTTGCACGAAATTTGGCACAACGTAATAAATAAGGTCTAGAATGATGTGTGCCAAGTTTCGTGAAAATCGGTTCAGATTTAGATATAGCTCCCCTATATAGATTCGTCCGATTTAAGGTAAATAGTGTACCAAAGTCCCTTATATATCTGTCGATTTACACGAAATTTGGAACAGCGCAATAAATAAGGTCCAGAATGATGTCTGCCAAGTTTCGTGAAAATCGGTTCAGAATTAGATATAGCTCCCATATATAGTTTCGCCCGATTTTAGATAATTGGTGCACCAAAGTCTCTGGATATGTTTCATTTGCTCGAATTTTGGCAAAGCATACTGAATTAAGCATAAAATTATGTGTGTAAAGTTTCGAGACAATCGGTTCATATTTAGATATAGCTCACATATGTAGTTTCACCCGATTTGAGGTAATTTGTGCACCAAAGTCCCTGGAAATCTTTTCATTTGCACGTATTTTGTCATATCGTACTGAATTATGTCTAGAATAATGTGTGCAAAATTTCGTGAAAATCGGTCGAGATTTAGATATAGCTCCCGTATATATTTTCATCCGATTTTATGTAATTGGTGAACCAAAGTCTCTGAAAATCATCTGATTTTCACGAAATTTGTCATAGTGTACTGAATTAAGACTAGAATGACGTGTGCTAAGTTTCGTGAAAATCGGTTCTGAGGGTGTAAATATCACGAAATTTTACCCAGGTTCGAAATAAACATCCACATAAATTTATAGTTCCGTGGTAGTTGTGAAGGGTATCGTATGGTCGGCCCTGTCCGACTATACTGCTCCGTTCGCTGGTTTAATTTCACGTTTCGATTAATGCAATTTCCTATTAAATTTAATTTATTTATTACATCTTCACCTTTTAATTATATAAATCATGTTCGTGTAAAACAAAATCATGAAAATAATTTTCTACTGAGCCGCACATTAAGTGTGGGTTTTGTTTGTGGAGCATCATCTCCATCATCTAATGGTTTACCATTTAGTCTTGTTAATGGGTTTTCTCTCCCTCTTTATAAAAGTAATACCATATATTATGTGCTTTCCAGTGTTCAGCTTAAAATGAATCAAAGTAACAAAGCTTGGATGATTTGCCATAGAATAAACCCTTGTAAATTGTTAACATGTAAGTCTACCCCCAACCGACAATCATTAGACAGAGATACAACAGCCATAAACAAGAAAGTGTTTGAAAGTGAAATTATTTCCCTTCCCTTACCCCTCTCCTCTTCCCAATTAACACTTGGCAGGCTGACTGGCTAAGAATCCTTTCTTCCTTTCTGTTTGGCGGATTTGTTTGGGTTCTCATTAGAAATGACCTACCACAATGGCTCATTGCTTCTGATGGTGGTGGTAGATAGACGGTGTATCATTTATATGAACGAATGTATGTGTATATGTATGTATGTGTGTATAAATTGTTGTATAGTGCTCCCAATGTTGTTCATTCCCTCATAATTTTTGTTCTCCGTACATTTCCTACTTTCACTTTGTATGATAGCGGGTGGGTGGGTGTGTGTGTGTATTTTTTGTACGCCAACAAAGATTAAAAGAGATTTAAGCGCACTCGATGGCTGCCCGAACTGGCCTAGCCAGTCCTTACTAGCCAGTCGAGTTGGCCATCTAAAGTACTTATATTAATTAAAATGGCATTTAATGTGGTTGGTTGTGTGTTCTTGTTGTAGTAGTTTATTATCATAGCCCTTGTAGTTGTTGTTGTTGTTTTTGTTGTCATATATTAATTGCAAAGAACATAATAAAAATAATGATGAGGGTAATTTAGAGTTTTAGTGATATACAAAAAAATTTTCATTTTTTATATTAACTGACCTTATAGGAGCCCAAATCCTGAACGACACATGTCAGGGTGGCATCACGGCCCACAGATGCTGTAACATTTGCAATGGCATAGGTGAATTTGGGATCCGCTGGAAAAAAACAGAGTAGAACAGTTAATATTAGTAAATTAAAGACAATTAAAATATTAATTATAATAAAGACTTAAAAAATAAAAATAATATTATATAAGAAAATATAAGAAATATTTTTTAAGGGCTATATAGGAGGCTTGATTTTATATTTTGAAGGCTCTATAGAAGGCGTGGATTTTTATACCCTTCACCACACTGTGGTACATGGTATTATGTCTTTGTGCATATGTTTGTAACAGGCAAAAGGAATCGAGATAGACCCATGGTTCCTTTTGAGAATATGCATAGAATCACTTTCTGAGTCGATTTATGCATGTCCGTCCGTCCGTCTGTCCGTCTGTTGATGTTAAATTGTAAACAAAGTACAGGTCTCATTTATGATCCGATTTGGATGAAATTTGGCACAGCTCACTTATTTGGCCCAAGGACGAACCCTATTGAAATTGGGAAAAATCGGTTCAGATTTAGATATAAGTCCCATATATATTTTTGACCGATTTAAGGTGAATGGTGTACCAAAGTCCCTATATATCTTTCGATTTGCACGAAATTTGGTATAGCCTACTGAATTAGGTCTAGAATGATGTATGCGAAATTTCGTGAAAATCGGTTCAAATTTAGATATAGCTACCATATATAGTTTCGGCCGATTTTAGGTAAATGGTGCACCAAAGTCCCTGAAAATGATTTGATTTGCACGAATTTTGGCATAGCGTATTGAATTAAGTCTAGAATTACTTGTACCAAGTTTCGTGAAAATCGGTTCAGATTTAGATATAGCTCCTATATATAGTATCGCCCGATTTTAGGTAAATGGTGTAACAATGTCCATATATATCTTTCGATTTGCACGAATTTTGGTATAACCTACTGAATTAGGCCTAGAATGATGTGTGCTAAGTTTCGTGAAAATCGGTTCAGATTTTGATATAGCGCCCATATGTGGGTTCGTCCGTTTTAAGGTAAATGGTGCACCAAAGTCCCTGCAAATCTTTTGATTAACAAGAATATTGGCATAGCGTACTAAATTAAGTCTAGAATGATGTGATGGTTTTAAGCAAATTGTGCACTAAAGATCCATACCATAGTTCGATTGACTATGGTATGGATCTGTGGCAGGTTTGCTTGAAATCGGTTCAGATATAGATATAACTTAGCTTCCATATATAATTTCGACATATTTATGTTAATTGTACGCCAAATATTCAATGGGTGTCTGATTGAGATTACATGTTTAACAGTACAGCGACGTCTTTTCGGATACATATGTAAAATATACCCAAAGTGGTGAAGGGTATCATATAGTCGGCCCAGTCCGATTTTACTACTTTCCTTACTGGTTTAAACATATTTTGAAGGCTCTATAGAAGGTGTGGATTTTTTAAACACATTTTGAAGGCTCTATAGAAGGCGTGGATTTTTTAAACATATTTTGAAGGCTCTATAGAAGGCGCGGATTTTTTAAACATTTTTTAAATGCTCTATAGAAGGTGTGGATTTCTTTAAACACATTTTGAAGGCTCTATAGAAGGCGTTGATTTTTTAAACATATTTTGAAGTCTCTATAGAAGGTGTGGATTTCTTTAAACACATTCTGAAGACTCTATAAAGGTGTGGATTTTTCTGAACATATTTTGAAAGCTCTATAGAAGCCGTGGATTTTTTAAACATATTTTGAAGGCTCTATAGAAGGTGTGGCTTTTTTTAAACACATTTTGAGGGCTCTATAGGAGGTGTGGATTTTTTTAAACATATTTTGAAGGCTCTATAGAAGGCGTTGATTGTTTTAAACATATTTTGAAGGATCTATATGGGGTATCTTTTCTTATCGCCCGATGAAAATGTGAGCTAATATGTGCCGCGAGTTCACCTATAATAACTATAAAAAATAATGGCTTGGTTTGGTTAGAAGAATGCATGCCCAATTATTGGAACCTCAGCATCCTGTGTCCCGTGCACAAAAAAGGAGACAAGACGATATGTGCCAATCATAGAGGAATAAGTTTCCTTTCCATCGCATATAAAGTGCTATCCAGCGTACTGTGTGAACGACTGAAGCCAATGGTCAATGACATTATTGGACCATACCAATGCGGCTTCAGACCTGGCAAATCCTGGAAAAAAACACATCGACACATTCCACCTATGCGTCGACTATAAAGCCTCATTGGACAACCCTATCCGTTCAGAAGTGTGTAAAGCCATGCCTGCGTTTGGTACTCCTGCAAAATTAACCCTTTCAGTGTTTTTGTCGAATATATTCGACATTTAAAATTACTCTCTTTTTCTTACTCAATTTTTCGGTTATCCTATGTACCGTTACAGTTGATGTCTTTATTTTTGCTGAAAGATAGACAAAACTGTCCGATGGTTAAAATAAGAATTGATTTTTTTTTTCTAAACTCTGGGCCTTCATATGATTTTAAGTACAAAATTTTAGATTTTTATTCCGACAAAAATTTTCTTTGACACTGAAAGGGTTAATACGGCTCTGCAGGATAACTTTAACTGGCACAAGATCAGCAGTTACAGTCGGAAAGGACTTCTCGGAGCCCTTTAATGCCGAACGAGGATGCAGACGAGGTGATAGTTTGGTATTCTTTCAAAATTAATACGGCTATGCAGGATAACTTTAATTGGCACAAGATCAGCAGTTAGTGTCGGAAAGGACCTCACGGAGCCCTTTAACACTAGAAAGACGGGAATTTTGTATATACCTATATTGCCTAAAATCGGTCAAAATGACTTCATTCTGAAAGAATTTTTATTGTTTAAGAAAAATTTTTTAACTTATTTTTTAATATTTTTACAGTATTCACAATCATACAAAACGTTGTTATTATTTGTTTTCGGTGGTAGGGCTCTCGAGTTTCCCCTTTTGAAAAATAAGAGCGCGGACAAAATGTTCGAAAAAGAGGAAGTCTTTACTCTAAGAGTGAAATCGACTAGAAATATAAAATTTATTTTTCCCGATTTGTATGTTCGTTTGTGTTTCTAGAGTAGCAAACGGGTTTCGATGTTGTTGTACTGATCTGGTCATATAAGAAATTTACTTTATACAATAATAAAAGTAGTTTGATTGTTTAATATTTCACAGAAGGTCAAAATGACCGATTTTAGGTATAGCACATGTGAATACGGGGAATGAAAAAGGGGAGGAAGCAGCTACTATGATTAATAAACGTAGTTCTATGTGGTACAAAAAGTCACCAAATTTTAAAAAGCTGGGTCATAATATACACAATTGTTTTTGTACTTGAAATTGAAAAACGGTCAAAATGACTGCCTTCGGCAATCTAGTGTTAATACCGAACGAGAATTCAGACAAGGTGACAGACAGAAGACCAAGTTGATGGTAACAACGCGCAAGACGTCCAGTAGACTCGGACCAACTGTGGAACTTGAGAACTACAGCTTCGAGGTAGTCAACGATTTTATATACCTTGGTACCGCCATAAACAAAACGAATGACATCAGTTTTGAAATTCGGAGAATGATAGTAATGGCCAACAGATGCTACTATGGTCTGAGCAAACAGCACAAAAGCAAGGCCACCTCCCGCCAGACCAAACTCACATTCTACAAGACGCTGATACTACCCGTGCTGTTATATGGATCTGAAGCATGGGTACTTGCACAAGCAGATGAGGTAGCTCTTGGAGTGTTTGAGAGAAAAATTCTCCGAATGATCTATGGGGCGATCTGCGTTGACGGTGAATATCGCCGTCGAATGAACCATAATTCGTACCAGCTATTCTCGTACATCGACATTGTTAGACGTATTGAGCTGCAGCGACTACGTTGGCTAGGTCATGTTGTGAGAATGGATGAAGATGCCCCAGCCCAGAAGGCATATAAAAGCGAACCAGCTGATGATTTACGCAGAAGGGGAAGGCCTCGAGTAAGATGGAAAGATCAAGTGGAAGATAACATTGCCGAAAATGGTCTTTCAAATTGGAAAAACTGCGCTAATGGCCGACGCGCCTGGAAATCTTTTTAAAGCTCGGCTTATGCCACGAAAGTTCTGTCACAATCCAGCTAAGTATGTAAGTATGATGATTTCTTTTTTACATATCTCGCCTTACAGCAATCCCTCCAAATTTCATGCAAATCAAGGGATATATAGGGTCTTTGGTGCACCATTTACATTAAATTGGACGAACATATATATGACAGCTATATGTAGATCTGAACCGATTTCCACGAAACTTGACACACATCATTCAAGACTCAATTCAGGACGCTATGTCAAACTTTGGGCAAATCAAAATATATATAGGGACATCGGTGCACCATTTACAAAAATCAGACGAAACTATATATGGAAGCAATATCTAAATCTGAACCGATTTTCGCCAAACTTACCACACGTCATTCTAGACTCAATTCATTACGATATGCCAAATTTGGGCAAATCGAAGGATATATAGGGAATTTGGTGCACCATTTACAAAAAATCTGACGAAAACTTATGGGATCTAAATTTGAACCGATTTTCCCGAAACTTAACACACATCACTAGAGACTTCATTCAGTACTATATGCAAAATTTCGTGCGAATCGAATGATGTATAGGGACCTTGGTGCACTATTTACCTAAAATCGGACGAAAATATATATGAGAGCTATATGTAACTCTGAAACGATTTCTACAAAATTTAAAACACATAATTCTAGACCTAATTCAGTATGCTATACCAAATTTCGTGCAAATCGAAGCATATATATTATCTGTGGTGCGCCATTTACCTTAAATCGGACGGAACTATATATGGGAGCTATATCTAAATCTGAACCGATTTTCATGAAACTTGGCACACATCGCTCCAGGATCAATTCAGTACGCTATGCCAAATTTCGGGCAAATAAAAATATATATAGGGACTTTGGTGCACCATTTACATTAAATCGAAAGAAAATATATATGTGAGCTATATCTAAATCTGAACCGCTTTTTCCCTCGTCCTTGGGCCAAATAAATGAGCTGTGCCAAATTTCATCCAATTCGAATCAAAAATGCTACCTGAACTTTGTTTACAATTTAACATGGACAGACAGCTGAGAGGACGGAGGGACGGACAGACGGACATGCATAAACCGACTCAGAAAGTGATGCTATGCATATTCTCAAAACGAACCATGTGCCTATCTCGTTTCCTTTTGCCTGTTACAAACATATGCATAAAGACATTTCAAATTGGAAAAACTGCGCAAAAGACCGGCGCATCTGAAAATCTTTTCTAAGCTCGGCTTATGGAACGAAAGTTCTGACAAGACACAGTGTGGTGAAGGGTATAAAAATATCTTTCAACAAAGCGATCAGCGCTATATTTCCGCCCTCCTGTGTGGTAATGGATTACCTAATAATATCTGAGTACAAAAGCACCTGTAAATATTTAAGTGTAACTCCCACATCCGGGTACATACGACAATATAATGGGTATCAATTTAAAGATCAACTACTCCTCTTGGATATTCTATGAACTTCTGGGGTCTGTATCCTTCAGGGGTAAATATATACGCCCCAGAATACAAATTTTGTAATTTTTCACACAAAAGTAAGGGTCCATTTGACCCGCTAAATATTGAGCGATCTTTATCAAAACAGGCGTGTTTATTCTTTGGCACGATCGTCTTCTCCATGTAAAATTTCACGATGGACCATAGCTGCGGCCTCTGGATCGACCAGATCTTTACCAAAAACAATAGGGGTCTTCATTGGGGCGAACCTATCATCCATTCAAAATTTGGTGAAGATTGGTCCATAACTGTGGTCTGTATCGTGTTTACAAATTATAATGGACAGACCGACGGACGGACACACATGTCTAGATCGACTCAGCTAGTCCAGATATGACGATCGTATACTTAAAGGTGGATCTAGGACCAATATTTCGTGGCGTTACAAACTCTTGTGGCTGCACAAATATATAATACTCTGACAACATAGTTGGGTAGGGTATAAAAATAGTGGCTTGGTTTGGTTAGAAGAATGCATGCCCAATTATTGGAACCTCAGCATCCTGTGTCCCGTGCACAAAAAAGGAGACAAGACGATATGTGCCAACTATAGAGGAATAAGTCTCCTTCCCATCGCATATAAAGTGCTATCCAGGGTACTGGGTGAACTATTAAAGCCAATGGTCAATGACATTATTGGACCATACCAATGCGGCTTCAGACCTGGCAAATCCACCATTGACCAAATTTTCACTCTGCGCCAAATGCTGGAAAAGACTCACGAAAAACACATCGACACATTCCACCTATGCGTCGACTATAAAGCCAAATTCGACAGTCCTATTGTCCGTTCAGAGGTGTTTAAAGCCATGTCTACGTTCGGCATTCCTGCAAAATTAAAAATCCACGCCTTATATAGAGCCCTAAAAAAATTCTTTAAAAAATCCACGCCTTATATAGAGGCCTGAACAAATATTTAAAAAAAAATGAAAAAAATATTTTTAAAAATCCTCGCCTTTGGTAGACCCTTGAAAAAATGCCTCCTTCTCTGAATAATTTATAACCCTCATCAATGAGTTCATCAAACTGCAATTACATAACAATTGCCACGTAATTTTAGGTTTCCCTGCTTTCATTTCTTCCGTAATTATTAAAATTTCTTTATATTTCCGAACCGTTTTTTTGTAGTCCCCCACATATTTTCTTGTAATTTATTTTTAAGCATTTTGACAATATTATTATAATCATATTTTTATACCCTCCACCATAGTATGGAGGGTATATTAGTTTTGTTTTTCCGTTTGTAACGCATCGAAATAATCATTTCCGACCCTATAAAGTATATATATTCTTGATCAGCGTAAAATTCTATGACGATATAGCCATGTCCGTCTGTCCGTCTGTCCGTCTGTCTGTCTGTCCGTCTGTCTGTTGTAATCACTCTAGCGTCTAAACGAATGGAGATAGATCGCCAAAATTTTGCATAGAGTCGTCTTTTGTCTGCAGGCAGGTCAAGTTCGAAGATGGGCTTTATCGGTCCACGTTTAGGCATAGCTCCCATATAAGGGTACCCCCAAATTTTCGGTATTTTGGGGTTCTTGAGCGCGGTTTTCAACCGAATTCGCTGAAATTTGCTACATAGGGTTCTTATTGGGTACTTAATATCTCCACAAAAAATTATAAATATAGGTCTACTTTTTCTGGTAGCCCCCATATAAGGGTACCCCCAATTTTGCGGTATTTTGGGGTTCTTGAGCGCGTTTTTCAACCGATTTCGCTGAAATTTGGTATTTTGTAGTCGTATATGGTAACAAATCTCCCTACCAAAAATTATTAATATTCACCCTCTTTTAGGGGTAGTCCCCTTATAACCTCCTTTTTTATTTTAAAATAGTTAGCTGATGTTTTCCGGGTGTTGGGGTTATCCCATGTAGCTGTATTCCACCATAGTAGGGGGGTTATTCGGCAGACGAAATTTTCAGTTCACATAGTATGGAATTCTAAAACGATTTAGTCGATTTAGCCATATGTTGTAATCATTTTTATTTTGACCTAAAAACTAAAACGTGAGGTTTGAGAATGAACTATATTGACCCGCATTTAGGACCAGGTCCTATATAAAACATCCTACCTATTTAATATTTAGCGTGATGGACGGTATTGGAATTCAAAACTAAAATATTTGCTCGGAACTTGAGCTGCATCGGCCTTAATTAGGCCTAACCCCTTATATAATGAAAACACCAAGTAGTTGCTAATTCCTACACAATGTTGTCAATATTGCTCCCGCTTAAGTATGCCTCATATATAATATTGCCCTCGAAATTGGAATATTTTCAGGATTTTATACACATGTTTCACCATACCATGCGTTAATAATATATGTCAAAATTTTAGGGTTTTGAGATTTTAGGAAAACCCTCATTGAAATTGCTGAATTTTCTATTTGGTTTACAGCAATCGATTGGAAGAATTATCGTTATATGTATTTTCCCTATGTTTTCATTTCAAAAAATGGTCAGTATTTTTATGGTGGAGGGTATCCAAAGTTCGGCCCGGCCGAACTTAACGCTTTTTTACTTGTTTGTAGTTGTAGTTGTTGTTATTATTGTTATTGTTATACTCACTCAGAACATCCGCCGCCGTTTCATTACTCCTGTGGCACATTAATATCAATATGAATAACAATATTGTTGTTGTTGCTTTTGTTAGTGGTGGGTGATGATGATGATGACGTCGCCTCAGTACGGAGGACGTTGTTGATGATGTGTGTAGTGTTTTTCGCATTGGTGTCATCGTGCCACAATCTTTGCTGCTGCCAATGGCATTTGTTGTTGTTGCTGTTGTTTTTGTTTTTGCATAGAACAGATTTTTTGTTAGCGTCATAATTTTGTTGGAGGTATTTTTTTTGTTTTTGGTTTTTGTTGGAATTTTTTTATTTTCACTAGTTGTTGTTGTTGTTGGTTTTTTGTAGTTGTATAAAAAATTTCACTCAATTTCAGTTGAAAATTGATGTTATGGTTATTTGCTGATGTTGTTATTGTCCGACAGCCGGAATTTATAATTACACATTTGCGTTGAGAGTGTGTTGGTGTGTGTGGGTTATTGTATGAAGTAATTTAAATTGTGATTTATATTATTTTTTTTCTCATATGTGAGTGTGTGTGTGTGCACGAGCAAAAAAAAAATCCTAAAAGAGAAAAAAAATACACAGGGTTATTTTGGAGGTGTTTTTTGTAGCAATGAATGGTGGTCTGTAGGATTTTATTTTTTCTAGGTCTAATATAAACAAAGATTTTTAGCAAATATTTTCCAGGCCCAAAGTAGGCATGGTTTTTATACCCTACACAACTATGTTGTCAGGGTATTATAGCTTTGTGCAGCCCCAAGACTTTGTAACGCCACAAAATATTGGTCCTAGACCCACCTTTAAGTATACCGATCGTCATATCTCGACTAGCTGAGTCGATCTAGACATGTGTGCCCGTCCGTCTGTCCATTATAAATTGTAAACACGATACAGGCCACAGTTATAGACCAATCTTCGCCAAATTTTGCATGGAGGATAGGTTCGGCTCAATGAAGACCCCTATTGTTTTTGGTAAAGATCGTTTAATATTTAAGAGTAAAACGGAACAAATACTTAATTTTTGTCGGTTTTTCTGATCGCTCCAGAGGCCTCAGTTATGGACCGAACATCGTGAATTTTTACAGGGAGAAGGGGATGGGGCCAAAGAATAAGCATGCCTGTTTTGATAAGGATAGGTCAATATTTAGCGGGCCAAATGGACCCTGATTTTTGTGTGAAAAATTACAAAATTTGTGTTCTATGCCGTATATATTTACTCCTGAAGGACATATACTCGAGAAGTTTATAGTATATCCAATAGGAGTTGTTGACCTTCAAATTGATACTAAATTAGGTAAAGGTGACTATGTGCATAGTATTACTATTACTCCATTAGAGGACGGAAATGTAGCGCTGATAGATTTGACATTGTACATGAACTTTCGATTATGGTCAAGGATGACGCCTTTAGTTTTCGGTGAAGTGGAGATTTTATGGAGGGGGTGCAATGAACCGAAAATTTGAATTTTGTCAGATTTTCAAGGCAATTATTATATGCAGAACATCACATATTTTACAAGGTGACGGGAATCTGACCAAATACTTAGAGCGGCTGTTTAGATGATGATCGGTCAATATTCCGAGGGTCAAATCAACCAAAACCTAAAGTGACATTTTTTTTTATTTTACAAAAAAAAATTGGAAAACTTGCCAGGGTTAGAAAGTGAAGTTGTTCATCTATAACCGGTAAAAAGGGTGCAAATATCTCGAAATATTGCCCAGTCTCAGAATATAGAATCGCAGAAAGTTTTATTTTCGTGGTAGTTGTGTAGGTGTAAAAATATTTTTGTCAAGGCTCCACAGGTGCCGTAAGTTTTTTTTTAAATATTTTTTTCGAGGTCTACCTTTACCACACTGTGGTATATTATGTCTGCTCCGCTCACTGGTTTAAAATCCAATTGAAAATGGTTCAGATTTAGATATAGCTCCTATATATAATTTAGTCCGATTTAGGGTAAAATGTGCACAAAAATACCTATATATCTTTAGATGTGGACGAAATTTGCCACAGCGTAATGAATTAGGTCTAGAATGATGTGTGCTAAGTTTCGTACAAATCGGTTGAGATTTAGATATAGCTCCCATATACAGTTTCGTCCGATTTTAGGTAAATAGGGCACCAAAGTTCCTATATATCTTTCGATTTGTTCGAAATTTGTCATAGCGTACAGAATTTGGTACAGAATGACGTGTGCAAAGTTTCGAGAAAATCGGGTCAGATTTATATATAGCTCCCATATAGTTTCAGTAGTGTTGGCGGTTTTTTTGGGATACCATTTTTATTTTGTTTTTGCAAAATAGTCCCATATATATTTCCCTCCGATCTAAGGTAAATGGGGCTCCAAAGTCCCTATATATCATTTGATTTGCCCGAAATTTGGCATAGCATACTGAACTGAGTCGGGAAAATCGGTTCAGAATTCGATATAGCTCCCATTTATATTTGGGTCGATTTGATATATATATATATATATATATATTAAGTCTAGCATGATGTGTGTTAAGTTTCGAGGGAATCGGTTCTAATTTAGTTGTAGATGCACCAGACCCCTCATGGTTATCACATATTTATCCATATAATCGACGGCTGTCCGATTGATATTTGCTTTAAATTGATTTACATAATTTTGGCCCGCTGTATGAAGCTACTCTATATCTGACCAAATGAAAAATTTAGTATAGGTTGCAGAATGAAATATTTATGGATCCACGTTCATTTTACTGGTCCTTTAAAAATGCGACGTCTGCTAAGATTCATCTGTTGAATCTACCCAAAGTGGTGAAGGGTATCATATAGTCCGACTTTACTATTTTCCTTACTGGTTTAAAATTTTTTTAAGGGTCCACACAAGGAGTGGATTTTTTCAAAAATATTTTTTAGGTCTTCATACAAGACGTGGATTTGTTTATTTAAGAACTCCACACAAGGCGTGGTAGTTTTAAAAAATATTTTTTGGGGTTCCACAAGAGGCGTGGATTTAAAAAAAAACAATTTTTTAGGGTTCCACAGGAGGCGTGGATTTAAAAAAAAAATATTTTAGGGTTCCACAGGAGGCGTGGATTTAAAAAAAAAAATTTGGGGTTACACAAGAGGCTTGGATTTAAAAAAATATATTTTTTGGGGTTCCACAGGAGGCGTGGATTTAAAAAAAATATCCATAGGAAGAAGAATAGCTGCAGCTCTTCCACAGGAAGAAGGATACCTGCAGATCTTCCACAGGAAGAAGAATACCTGTAGCTCTTCCACAGGAAAAAGAATACATGCAAATCTTTCACAGGAAGAAGAATACCTGTAGCTCTTCCACAGGAAAAAGAATACCTTCAGCGCTTCCGCAGGAAGAAGAATACCTGCAGCTATGCTATAGAAGGAGGAATACCTCCGCTTTTAGAAAGGAGCAGAATATCTGCAGCTCTTTCAAAGGAAGTATAATACCTGCAGCTCTTTCACATGAAGAATAATACCTGGAGCACTTCTACAGGAAGAAGAATACATACAGCTCTTATATATGAAGGAAACTACCCCCAGCTTTCCTAAAGGAAGAAAATTACCCGCTGACCTTCCACAGGAAGAAGAATACCTGCAGCACTTCTACAGGAAGAAGTATACTTGCAACTCTTTTACACGAAGAAGAATACATACAGCTCTCCTATATGAAGGAAAATACTTCCAGCTTTCCTATAGGAAGAAAATTACCTGCTGACCTTCCATAGGAAGAAGAATAGCTGCAGCTCTTTCACAGGAAGAAGAATACCTGCAAATCTTCTACACGAAGAAGAATACATACAGCTCTCCTATATGTAAAATACCTCCAGCTTTCCTATAGGAAGAAAATTACATGCAGCTCTCCTATAGGAAGAAGAATACCTGCTGCTCTTCCATAGGAAGAAGGATACCTGCAGCTCTTTCATAGCAATAAGAATACCGAGAACTCGGGTCTCCACAGGGCGTCGATTTTTTAAATACATATTTTTCAGTGGTGTCTAAAAGAATATTCAATATTTCCTCATACACGCATACACGTGCATACAGATATATGCCTTCAGCGCCCTTCAAACAAAACAAGCAAACAAGAATTAAAAAATAAATCCTCGAACTAAAATTCATAAAAATTTAAATGGTGACATTGACACATTTTTCTACTGGGCTTTCGATTTAATTTTTTTTTCAAAAAAAAAAAAAAAAAAAAAAAAAAAAAAAAAAAAAAAAAAAAAAAAAATTTTAATTTGGTGGATATAAATATTTTTGTATAAACGTGTGTGCTGTTTTTTTTTTTTTTTTTTTTTTTTGAAAAAAAATAAAAGAGATTTTCCGATTTATTAAGTATTCATAAGGATTCCGACACAGTGTGACCATGTCTATGAATGAAGGAATGATGATTTGTTGAGTTGTGTTCATGAATCCTGTCAACTGTTTGATGGCCAGTCTATGGGGAGGAGGTGGGTGTATGGGTGGTGGCCTTGCGTGCCGTTCTGGCCATACATGTGTCTTTATTAATATTGTAGTAGAAGAAAAAATTTTTGGGGAAAATAATTTCTCTCTGTAAAGTAATTAAAATTTTAAATTTAATCATCTATTTTGTCATATGGAATTATGTAGAGACAATTTTGTCGACGAAATATCACAAAGACAAAAGTTCTGGTGTTTGGGTGCAGGGTAAAGTAGTGATGGAGATTAGAAAATTTCTTTCTCAAACATATAATTAAAAGAAGTCATAGAAATGATCCCAAAGTGGTCATTCAATTTGAAAAGGGAGGATATTTTTTTGGGGATTTAATAACAAGGAGAAAAGAAAATATTGTGAAAAAATCCACGCCTATATTGGCTACTCAGGAAAATATTTTGAAAAAATCCACGCCTATACTGTGGCTTCTGAAGAAAATATTTTGAAAAAATCCATGCCTATACTGTGGCTTCTGAAGAAAATATTTTGAAAAAATCCATGC